CTGTTATGTCCCAATTTGGTAGGTGTCGTAACTACATCATCTGGATACAACATGTTTTTCAATATTTAACATTATTGGTTTGACTGCATTGAGACTATTGGACGAGAACTGAACGGAGCTGGATTATGGCATCACTGTCTTCTGCAGAAATGAACTAATTTAATAATTTAATACTCTTTAAAACGGAATTGAATCAACACTGAACTGACTTCAGCTGAACAATAACACTGTTCTTTTAGAGCTGCTGTACAGCCGAAAAGAACTCTGTATGCACCATTGAATCGTTTTCCTGTTATCACTGTAAAGCTTCTTTGAAACAGTCTGTATTGTATAAAACGCTATATAAAGGTGACTTGACCTGACCTACTTGGCTTTTAGCATCCTGACCAACAGTGTTGCCCGCTGTTTTCAGAGTATGACTGACTACATTACCCAGCAGTCCAAAGAGTCATTCGATTTGTATCTAATCTCCCTAAAGTGGCAACACTGCTGACCAACATAAACTTAAATCTGAATTTAGCAACATTTGCTCAACCAAAGTTGTGATTTTGCGGCAAGACTATATTTGTTTAACCAATGGAGGATGGGGGAGGGTTCAGAAACCACTTTGAAAACAGTAATTTGGTCAAAATTTCCTTTGGTATGGTATTTCCTTGGTATGCTGCATATATGACACAAAAACACTGACACAACCCAGTGAACTTCTTGTTCATTGGCCTGTATTTTTTTTAAATCCAGGATTTATGCATAAATGGAAACTTAAAAGTATGTCAGCTCCCTTTCACCCAGAAAACAAGTAATACAACACAGGGGAACTTCAGACAGATTAAAGAGAAAAGTGAAAAAGCACTGCTGTCCATTGTTTGCTCATCAAGAAAGGGAAAGCTCACATTTAACCTAGAAATCTCATGCATACAGTTTTATCTCTGGTGAGTTGCATAAGATCGGACCCATGCCAAATACTTGATCACTTGATCACTTCCTTAATGGTAAAGTGTTTTCTTTCTCTTCTTATATCCCAGGTAACCATTCACGGGTTGATTTCCCTTAATGTAAAAAATAAAAATCCCTGCTTAAAAAAACAGCATAGTCATTGTTCCTACTAGCATGGTCTTTCTGGTGAAGTTGGTTTACCATTTTTCTTATAAAACCATTAATTTAGATAAGTTCTCTTGTTGGCTGATTTTTATTTTTGGAACACAGCTTTAAGCTATCCAGATCGTTTCCTTCTTTCATCCTGTTGTGAAAGAGTTCACGAGGAGTTTCCTGTGTTTCCTGATAAGGAAATAAAAAAAACAGAATGTCTCCTTGTAACAGAGACATTCCAAGGTCAAAACAAAAATTTTCACGTCAAGAGGGTGAAAACAAATTTTGACTGTTGCTATGAATTATATTCCTTAACTTAAAAATATTTATAGGCTGTTAGAATGACGTATCGACAGCCTATATCTTTACTGATTTCTAACACAGATTGTGTAAATTATGTGTAAACAAATAATGTTTATGCAAAATGCAATAGTATTTTCATACGATGTCAAGTATGTATAGTATATTGGCTTGTATAGTATATACAAATAGCATATTCAAAGTATGAAGTTGAAAAACAGTGAAAAGTTTTACAAATGGCTACAGAATGAGAAAAATTGTTTCACAAACTATATTTTTATATAGACTAAAACAGCTATTTAATTAATTTAATTTATAATTTATTGTTTTTTCCTGAATGTTTTATGATCACCTTCCTTATGGCGCCATCCATTGGTTGTAAAAGGCATTACAGACATGGCTCTAAAGAAATTTAATACAGGCTAAACAGCAAACCCTGGCCCATTCTCATGTTCTTCAGGACCAGGTTTTGGAAACACTGTTATAAAGTCTGGTAAAATGCATTCAGGCAGGTTTCTTCTCAGAAACCCTTAGAATTCATCTCAGTACATGTGTTCCAATGTCATTACTCTAGAGGATGTACAATCCTGCAGATGTGTGCTCTAACTGCTGCATGTGTTTGTTTCTTTGATGAATGAACTCATTGTTCCCACCATTCCACAAGCTTGTAAAAGACTGTCCAGAGAGTTCTGGGGAAAAGATCTTTTAATTTCCAGAACAAACACACTGAAAAAAAAAACAATAAGTAAAATTTACTTAACTTTTCTTTGCGGAGCGTTATATTTGCACGCATATTTTTTAAGTAAATTTCACATATGGAATTAAGTACACTCTACCTAAGTTAAGTGAAAGTAACAAATAAAATCAGTAATTTTAACTTAGCTAGTAAAAGGTTGAGTGATATCTATTTAGTTGAAGTTTCCTTGGCAATTCATTTCACTCAAACAATATAACATTGAATTAAACTCCCCTTTTTAAAGTATATGCTTTACTTAGAAACATCTAAGTAATTAATACAATAGATATTGTTTGAGACATATCTACAAATCAGAAGTTATATATTATGTGAACGCAGAGACCTCAATATTTGGTAGATGCTACACAATGACGTTAATATTTGATGGATCATTTTCTACTCCAAATGTCACAAAATGGCAAGTCACTAACCCTAACAACAAAAGCAATGAAAACAGTGTAAATACAGCTGGAAAACAGTGGGGGGAAAAAATCAACCTAATTAATTATTCAAAGCCCAGTGCATGATGGGAACACCAGTATCAGAAAAGTTGAGTAATTTTACTTAATTTTATAGCGTTGATATTTACGCTTTCATTTCTACATGTTTGAATTGAGTACAAATATAGAATTTACTACGCTTTTTTTTATTCTTGCCTGAACTAACTTTTTCATGTAATTACATTGTTTTTTTTTCTGTAGTATTTACTTAACCACAAAATCATTTTTTTATCAGTGAACATAGTCTGTAGCCATGTCTACAAATAACTATCCAAGAATATCCTCCAGGTTTTGCTCCAAAGCAGGAAATAATCTAAGGGATTTTACATCCATTTCTAATTATAAGAAAGCTGTACCTCCTTTAAGACATTTTCTACTAAACTACTCCATTGTAGTTTACATGGAGACGATATCGTTTTCGAAAACTGAACTTTGAATCCCATTGTTAAAAGTTTGCCTTTTCAGACTAAAACTCATTTTACGTTTTTAGTTTAAAATGGTGTCGTGTAAACAGCCCCTGAATGTGTTAATAAACTATTGAAATTAACATTAAATAGGACTAATAAATGCATTAGAAGTATTTTTTATTGTTAGCATGTTACCTGATGTAGTTTACTAATGTTAACAACTGTTGTTGAAATCGATATACCTTGTCATTATTTACTGAAATGTCTTTCAACTAACTTTTAAGTCTTCAAAATGAAACTGACTTGCAAGGTAGAACCCTAAAGAAAACCTTTAAAAAAATTGTGATGACTGCAATTCAGTAAGTCCCTCTTTCAGTCCTTCCAATTCAAATCACAGTTCAACATCTTTTGAGTGTGAAGCCAGAAGAACATAGATTATCTGTATTAAGGTTGTCATGCCAGCAATGGCTCCATTGAAAATACAGGGAGTGACCGTCATCTGCTGCACTGATGCTTATTGGCCTTGCCTTCAGTGGTTTGAATGCTCACACAAACAAAAAAACTTGAACTTAGAGCTGGATAATTTAAATTCAAACCAAATAGTTACTAAGAAACAGTGTTTGCAATTTTTCTATCTATCTGTCATTTCACTTGTTCAAGCATTTGAATAAACAAAATTTAAGGGACAAGAAGATACTGATTGCAAGAGTTTTTTATTTTTTATTTACTTTTTTTATTTTAGCCAACATACTATACACATTGAGAATAATCTTGCTGGTAGTAAATGTACATATGGGAATGTCAACTGAAATTAATTTGAAGTTAATTTAAACATTGCTGAGGGACTGCTAAGTAAAGACATAAGTATGTATCGAACACTCGACATGTATCGATACATGTATCAAACACTCAAATAAAATGTTATACAAAAAATGATTGCCATTACAACATGCTTTTGAGATGCATACTCAATTTCATAAACATAGCAGCTGTTAATACCCGAGGGATTTTTTGCGAACGTGTGAAAAGTTTGTTAGATTTATGAGTGTCAAGTCCTTATGTGGCAGAACTAATTTAGATTGCATGGCCAAGATCCAGAACATCTGAGTCTATAGATAAAATATCCTTAATAAAAAGCACAAATGGACCTTAACATCATAACTGTTGATGTTAATGTAAATGTAAAAAGATGTAAAATGACTGTGAATTTTGTACACATACTAATAGGGGCTTTCACATCGGAGGAACCTTTTCATAGTTCTTAGAACTATTGGCATAAGTACCCAGATTTTGGCACGTTCACACCACAGGAACTAGGAACGATTTTAGTTCTAGGAACTCCTTTTGGAAGAACAAATTTAGCTCCTACTTCAGAGTAGGGTCTTAAACTACTACCGGTACTACCAGTGATGTTAATGTACACTGATTGGCTGAACGCATGTGAAACACCAGCACAAGCCATTTAAAAAAAAAAAAGCAGTGTAAACAGATTATAGCCTATATATTTACTCTAGAAACTAACTCCACAAACATAGCATAAAGGTTAAGAGGCCCAATCTATCACTGTTTTCCAAGGAGAAAATTCAACGCTACTTTGAGGGGACCAAGCCAAACGTGATTTTGCATTTCTGCTCAGCTAGCAACACTGGACATCAACCACACGGCATATGCCAATACCTTTTCATATGCTGTCTACTTTCTTTGTATAACAGTTCTATATAATAACGTATTAGACAGGACTGTTAGACAGATAGTAAACTAATATAGACTGAGAATGCGAGCACTGTTAGCTCAGGCGCAGTCGTTTTCAGCGCCTTCAAAATAAAGGTCCGCCACACCGTCAAAAGAAAAATCACAACAAGCGCGGCTTATGTCACTTCAGAGTACCTATCGGTGCGAATGCAACCAGGAAAATGTTCCTAAGGGAACCATTAGTTATCTGGGAACCACCCTTTTAATGGTTTGAAGTTTCTAGAACTACCCGGTGCGAAAGCCCCTAATGTTTGTATTGATAGTTTTTGCTCGAAATGCCCATGTAAGTGAAGATATGTAAAATATTTATTTCTTGTTAACCTCTTAACCGTCTCCAGAGCGTCGGCGCACTGAAGCGTTTTTTTATTTATTTAGTTCAAATATACTATCAGATTTAATGTTATACCTTGACAAACTATACATCATTAAAAAGATATAAGACTCAAGATTCAGTATTTGACCACTATTGTATTCTGAGAAACTTATAGTGACAGTTATGTCTTAATTTGTGTCAGGAGTTATGAAATTAAAAAATGAGTCGTTACCTTTAATATGAATTATGAGCCTCAGCCGGTCTCATTCAGAAAAAAACTCCCGTGCGATCGTCATGACAGCGCTTGACAAAACAACGTCCCTCAGGGCTTTTAGCTCAAACATGTGCAGATTTGGAGAAATATTGATAGATTCTCATAGCTTTACATTAGACTTCTATAGACAGGAATAATATTTATTGAATTTATACCCAAATGCGTCGATGTAATCATTTTGAGCGCTGTATACTCTGTACTGTGTTATCAATTCATCCTGAAAGTGAGGGCGCTGTTTGAACAGAAGTCCATAATATATGGATCACATGAAGAAGAGCCATAATCATGTGACATTCAGGAAGTCCTGCCACAACAAAGCTATCCGAGATCGCTGTAAAGTGCAGATAAAGATGTTTTGAAGACAATAAACATGATTGCAATGATATTTGATTTACCTGTGTTCTTCGAGTCATGTCAGGTATTTTCATAATAATTGATTATATGTATAATGTAATGCTAATCGAGATAGACTTTCAAATTGTGCAGAATACAATAAAATAATATATTTTCTATCTGATTTTTTTATCTGAAGCCAAATCAGATTACAGAAAGTTATTTAAAACACTCGACTTGCGCTATAAAGTAAGTTTGGAGAACAAACATAGTTTTATTCTCATAAATTGTCGTGTATTGATGGTGTGCTAAGCTAACATGCTAGCTAGTACTGAGCACCTGCTACCTTACTTCGGTGTAATTTTTATGATTTTTTTCTAAATAAGAATGCTTACTGAAATGTTTCGTTTTTCAAAAAGGGCATTTGATACAGTTTCACTGTGAAGTGAGAACTTTTATAAAATAAATGAGGGATTGAAACAGTGTGAATTGCTAGTCGTTAGTGATTATAATGCAGACAAAAGAAAAGCATATTTAGAGCAATAAACTGGCTGGAGAGGTGTGAATATGTGCAGGGGAGACTGAGACTGAATGGGGCTCGTTTTTGCATCACAAAACAATAGAGGCAATAGACTGAATAGATGCTTATAAGAAAACAATAAACACCAGTCTAATCAAAATAAAGTCATATGACATGATCTTGAAAAACATTGAACTAAATACAGAGTTTTAGACTTATCATCTTCAAATTTTAAATATAACATGGCCAGACATGTGGCTTTAGCTGCAGTGCATTTCTAGATTGCTACAATGCCAACTTCAATTTTATTTTCATGAAGATGTTTCATAAAAATAAATGTATAATAACTTTACAAAACTTTGAAGCTATTTATAACTATTTTTTTCATTATGATAATAATTAATTCTACATTTACAATAAACTTCCAGGTGTCAGCTTTCAAATGAGATCTTACTTGTGCTTTTAGTACAAAGGGTTCATGAACTGTATCTGTTTCAGTTTGGGAATGCCATATCTGGGGATTTTTCAAAAATGGGCTTGAAGCTTAACAGGTTAATAGATTTGGGCAAAAATTAACACATATAAAGTCGCTGGTCTCTCATTTGTTTGTTTTTATGAACGTATGTGTATGTCTTTCTCATACCCTTTTCAAGTCACTTGGGTTCAGCACTTTCCCAATGAAAAGAAGTGCCCCTGATGGCTCATCCCTGACTAGAAAGAGGAAAGGCCGGTCCACGCGATACGTTAGAGCCAGCGATTGGCCTTTGGCAGTGGGGGTGGTGCTGGCATACTCTGTACCCTCTGGAGCCGTCTCCATGACAACCTTATGTTGGACGCCATTTAACTTGACTGGCTGACTGGTGATTTTGATAAGGTCTGTCTCTGCCAACCATTCAGACAGACCTGAACAAAGGAAAATGATTAGTAACTATTTTATAAGTAAACAAAACTGATTAGCTAGCAAAAACTGTGGAATGGTGCTTGTGTCTCACCCATGTCAGAGAGGGAAGGCAGCAGGTCTGTCCTGTAGCTGAGTTTGATAACAGGAAGAGTAAGCAGCACCTGCACTGCGTGGAGGGTATTGGAGAGGTCCTGGACAAATTCAGCTGTAAGTGCTTCCTCTATTAGAGTCAGATTCTGAGTCACCTCATCGGGCAAGAAGAAATACATGCTCACTCCATCCTCCATAGGAACCTGGGCTATCTGTATGAGATGAGCACATAGCAAATCAAAAAAAAAAAAAAGTATAGATCCCACATACAGTACTACTCAAACTTGCATCATTACTTGGTTTAGGTCAACTGACCTTCCTTAGGCTTACAAAAAGGCAAAGGTATTAGCCAATTTAACTCATTAAGAGTATTTACTGCTGTTTGTAATTAAAAAGGCAACACCTACATACCTAGCCAATATATAATTCAAAATGAGAAAAATGTACTGGACATTTCTACAGTTGCATTGGCAACCAAAAACGTTTGCATGGTGCTGCCTCCACACCACTGGGTGTCAGTGTAATTCCATGATGACTTGACAAAAACTTACTGAGTTCACCTTCAAAGTTGGCATCAAACAGAAGTTTTGATAGTCTTTTCTTCTCTATTGTGACACACTTACTATCAAAAAAAAAAAGTTGCTTTTTGGATTTAAATAGGCAAATACTTAAGAGTCTATAACAGGATCATTATTACTGTGAATTATGTTTATAGCATGTTATATTTTGGGGGACATTTATTTTGACCAAAAATGTATGCACCTCTTGATGGAATTAAAAGTTGTGATGTTATTTTCCATCAATTTTTGGTCAAGATCTTGTATTGACAATGCAGGAGTCAAGCACTCTGTAAAGTCTTCTCCAGCACATCCCAAAGACTTTCAATGATTTTAAGGTCTGGACTTTATGTTCCCTCCCAACCATTCTTTCACAGTTTGAGCCTGAAGAATCTTGACATTGTCAATCTGGAATATGGCCATGATGTGTCTCGCTACATGATTGTTTAAGAAAAGAAAAGCTACACACTCCATCAATTAGGGTTAAAAGAACTGTTCCCAAACATATAACATGCTAGAAACATGATAATCACTGTAATAATGATCCAATCATAGACTCTTAAGCATTTGCCTATTCAAATCCGAACAGCGACTTTTTTGTGGTGCCTGGCAGTGTATATTTCTGATTGATACGGCTTCTCGAACAAGAACATTTTTTGAGTATTGCTATTGCTGAGATCACATGTGAGTGACACGTTGTCCCACTTTTGTGCAAGCAAACAAGTCAAGAGAAGAGAGGTAGTTGCAAGAGGGAGGGGAAGTTACTCAAATTAAAGATTACAAGGGCATTTGAATTTTGCAAAGTAATGTACAGGGATAATCATCATAATATTATAAATACTGCCGTATTCCATAAAAAAAAAAATAGAAACTCCATTTCCAATTCTGACATTACGTGCCCTCATATATGTTGCATGACTTAAATCAATGGAACACAAAAGGAGTAATATAGCAGATGCAGGCTGTTTTTTTTTCCCTTTTAAATCGCTGTTATTGCTGCTGCTGACAGGACTTGCTACTGCCAATACATACATAAATACAAGACGCTGCTGCTGTACAAAATACCACACATAAATTACACCTCAATTGAGCAGGTGACAATGAAGGCTGAACAATACAAGCCAAGTGTATGTCATAGAAAATCCCCCATAACGCAGATAACAAAGGAGATGACAGCGGTGATGATTCAGTCGCCCCCAGAAGATCTACCACCAAAACATAATCCGGTTTTGGTTGTGTATTTCAGTTCTGTGTATTTGTTTTCAATCAATTTCATTTGCTGTTCAGTTACCTTGGTTTCTCATTGTTTGATTCAGGTGTGTCTCGTTTTCTTGATTAGTTTGCTTGGGTATTTAAGCTCTGGGTTTCTTTCAGTTGATTGTCAGTTTACGTTGCATTTTAACCAGTTGTTCTGATCCTGTTTTATTATTTTGTTTCTAGTGATTTGATTGAATAAAAGGACTGTTTACTGCTTTACCCAGATCCTCTCCTCACATTATTGGCAACTGCTTGTGACAACCATTCATATTAGCGCTATGAAGCACTCCATTCTGCAGATAGTGATGTGTCCTCCCGTATCGAGGCTTCGAAGCGTGTGTCGAGTAATCCGGGATGATTTCTGTGAAGCGCGTATCGAGGCTTGTGTCGGTGACGTATGTGGTGACGTTTGAAGCCTCGCGAGCCGCCTGTGCCACGTGACTGCTTCAGGAAGTGGTTCGCGGTTTGGCGGTCTATTTGAAATATAAGGGCCAGCAAAATGCAATGGATTCCCCCTCACATTTTGTGGACTTGGGACTTTGCGAGTTTGTTAGCGATCTATTCAAGCTTCTTTTTCTTCATTCAATTCATTCAATGCTTCAGACACCAAAGCCATAGTGTCATTATAATCACACTGCACGTTTTACATTTATTGTCCACTTGATGGCACAATAGAGCAAATGAAGCACCATGAAGCTTCGGCACATGAGTGAACCAATTGGATGAAACGCTTCAATGCTTTATGAAGCTTCATCTCGCCATCACTACCAGCAATGCTTTGACAGCTGCTTATTTGCTAAGAAATTCACTCTAAGCTTTAAAACGGGACTGTTAAAATGATAGATGATTTTAAACCTTGTGTATGGTTACTTCATAAGGAATTAATAAAGCAGACCACGCAATATGCATGGCGACATTGCATAAGAAAGACCGTTCACTTATCTTAGATGATGAAATTCAGAGGATTTCTGAAAGCACGCTGCAACTGCTACAGAAAATGCTGACCAGTATTTGAAGGTAGAGCAGCAAGCCCATTGGCTACTGATACAGCAGGAACCAATCAGCTGTGCCCTATTAGAGAATGATGTGATTGCAAGCAGATTGAGTTAAGGACCCATCACCCTGCGCCATCTAGAGTTTCATGACAGAACTTTATAAATAGATATCATCAAAGTTACTATTATGTGTGCTCTGTATTGTATGAGGAACTCTGTATTGTATGAGGAGCAGTCCAATTTTTAACTTGTTATCCACCAAAAATACTGTCTTCAAACCTAGCAGCAGTACAATCATTTTCATATTTCCACATGTTCAAATGTGGCATGTTCATAATACAATTGTGTGATGTTTGTGTGCAGTTGTATGGAAACCTTATACCGGTAGTATTGGACCAGTATACTGGTCTACATCTATCTTATATTATATATTACATTCATTATTATTATATATCACACATACATACACACACTATATATATATATATATATATATATATATATATATACACTCACCGGCCACTTTATTAGGTACACCTGTCCAACTGCTCGTTAAAACTTAATTTCTAAGCAGCCAATCACAGGGCGGCAACTCAGTGCATTTAGGCATGTAGACATGGTCAAGACAATCTCCTGCAGTTCAAACCGAGCATCAGTATGGGGAAGAAAGGTGATTTGAGTGACTTTGAACGTGGCATGATTGTTGGTGCCAGAAGGGCTGGTCTGAGTATTTCAGAAACTGCTAATCTACTGGGATTTTCACGCACAACCATCTCTAGGGTTTACAGAGAATGGTCCGAAAAAGAAAAAACATCCAGTGAGCGGCAGTTCTGTGGGCGGAAATGCCTTGTTGATGCCAGAGGTCAGAGGAGAATGGCCAGACTGGTTCGAGCTGATAGAAGGGCAACAGTGACTGAAATAACCACTCGTTACAACCGAGGTATGCAGCAAAGCATTTGTGAAGCCACAACACGCACAACCTTGAGGCGGATGGGCTACAACAGCAGAAGACTCCACCGGGTACCACTCATCTCCACTACAAATAGGAAAAAGAGGCTACAATTTGCAAGAGCTCACCAAAATTGAACAGTTGAAGACTGGAAAAATGTTGCCTGGTCTGATGAGTCTCGATTTCTGTTGAGACATTCAGATGTTAGAGTCAGAATTCGGCGTAAACAGAATGAGAACATGGAACCATCATGCCTTGTTACCACTGTGCAGGCTGGTGGTGGTGGTGTAATGGTGTGGGGGATGTTTTCCTGGCACACTTTAGGCCCCTTAGTGCCAATTGGGCATCGTTTAAATGCCACGGCCTACCTGAGCATTGTTTCTGACCATGTCCATCCCTTTATGGCCACCATGTACCCATCCTCTGATGGCTACTTCCACCATGTCACAAAGCTCTAATCATTTCAAATTGGTTTCTTGAACATGACAATGAGTTCACTGTACTAAAATGGCCTCCACAGTCACCAGATCTCAACCCAATAGAGCATCTTTGGGATGTGGTGGAACGGGAGATTCGCATCATGGATGTGCAGCCGACAAATCTGCGGCAACTGTGTGATGCCATCATGTCAATATGGACCAAACTCCCTGAGGAATGCTTCCAGCACCTTGTTGAATCTATGCCACGAAGAATTAAGGCAGTTCTGAAGGCAAAAGGGGGTCCAACCCGTTACTAGCATGGGGTACCTAATAAAGTGGCCGGTGAGTGTATATATATATATATATATATATATATATATATAGAGAGAGAGAGAGAGAGAGAGAGAGAGAGAGAGAGAGAGAGAGAGAGAGAGAGAGAGAGAGAGAGAGAGAGAGAGAGAGAGAGAGAGAGAGAGAGAGCTACT